CACGGGCAACCAGTGGTGCAAATGGAATCTTCCTCTACTCCCAAGTCACTGTATTACACTCTTCCCCTTGCTTCTGTTGGTCAGTGACATAGTGATAACTTGCCTTTTTCACTGGTGATCTCTACTAAATAAAAGAGCAAGATTCTAGGCATGCTAAGTTCTTAATTGAGTTTTTAATAATGTCCAACTATGAAATTGATATCTCATTGGAAAGTTTATGTGTGAGAGAAAACTATTAAAATATCCTGACAGATATATTTGATAGCATGTTTCTAAACGTAGTCTTTATTATTTAACAAATAAATGTTGAAACAGAAAAGTATCAGCAAACATTGTTAAAGTGGCTAGCGAATAGTGATGTGCTTGCTAAAGAAAATAATGGTGATGCTGTTAGTCTACAATCTCTATCCAATCTCCCTCCTCCAACTTATATCTCTGACCAGAGAAATTCTGCATCTAAACTGAAGAATTCTTTGTGTCACCAATACAACATATACGTCTTCCTTTGAGCTTTTTGCTTACAGTATTTCTCCTGCTATAAATGTACCTCCCTTTTTATCATTTTCTTTCCGCCTTCTCATATTTATTGAGTTTTTATTAGGTAGGCAGCACTCTGTAATTGCTGAGAAGCCAACATAACTTAAACATGGTCCTGCTAGTTCAATTCCCCTAAGTCCCTCCCACTCATACACTTCTAGACACACCCTCTCTGACAGCTTTGTGCATGTGAACTACCGTCAGTGGTGCCTACATGAACATATACTGCTTTTCAACGTCATTGATCTGTCTTCGTAATGGATCTACACACCCAGGGAAAGGGAAGACTGCATCTGAGGCTCCTCTGTATGCCCAGCACTTAGCACAGTGCTTGGCATATAATAAGAGCTTAAAAGATATATGTTGATGGTATTGAGATTCTCACTCTCAAATTGTTTTCTGAAATTGATAAGCTTAAAATACTATATCAAAAAGTGATCAATACTCAGGATGTTCTAGGCCAAATTGGCAGAATAAATGTGTCTAAATCATGAAGATTGGAGAGTATTCCAGGGAACTTGGAAGTCACTCAAGGATGAAATCGGGGAACTAATGACCAAAATGTATAATCCATTGCTTCAATTGACCTCTGTGTGAGAAAACTGCCAAGTGACAAATGCAAGTCCTTCGTGTTAAGGAAGATTCCAGAAAGCTACAGGAAATCATAGACCATCATAGTGCGCAGGCCAAAAGATTATATAATAAAGTACTAGATGATGCATGTATTTGGGGAGAGGCAACATGTTTCACAAGAGAAAAATGTTAAGCTGAATCTTAGTAAAATACAGAATATTCATAGGGGACAACACCAAGTGAGGGGACCTGTAGTGAGTCACATGCAGAGTGGTTGAGGATACTGGTACGGGTGGACGGCGGTGGGGGTCAGCTTGACAGTAAGGATATTGTGCTGGTTAAGTAAAGAATCAACATCTCTAGTTATTCATGGACATAACAGGGACAGTACATGTTTCTTTGGGCACATCTTTCAGAATGACTGGAAACAAAACCTGTTCTGGGGTGGAGTTAGTTAAGAGTCATTTCTTCCAAATAAGTTTATCCACTTCACCAAGCACTGGGTCACATAGCTGCTCAGAGTTGGAATTTTAATATTTGTGTTGCTTTGGCAAGTCTACACACCACCCAGGAAGGTATCGGGATCTGCACAGACTCTAAAATTGTTGCTGAGTGTGTGCCTGGGACACCTTCACGCCTGATTGTTTGGTGAATCAAGGGACTCTGCCTTGTTCATAAATCACGATGCATCACTAAGTGGCTACTTGCTGGCCTCATTCATGAGCATTCCGTTCAATGCCAGACCAGAAACTCTCCAAATTGGATTTTTAGGGCACGAAGACTTGCTACCACATATTGGAAAGATATCCTTTCAGGATTCTTGCTCTGGAGTGAACTTTGTGAGATAAACTAAAGCTTTTGGATACTGACAAATGGATGCCCCACGCATGGAGTGCTCTATGTGTGTATTGTTTGATAAATCAATTTTTGAAAGCATGACAAACTCTGTATCAATGAAAAATTCAGGATCTGTGAAGGATCAGGAGAAAACATATTCAAAAGATTCTCTACTTCCTTGATACGTCATCTTTAAGTCAATATTTGTTATTGATGTTTTTAAGCATTGGCTTTTTAATGAAAAGTTAAACAATAATTTAGACAGTTTTACAAAAATCTCATGTTTGGATACTGCTCTTGTCTTACTTATAAGGCTTAACTCTGGCAAGTCTATAGTCTTCTAATTTGAAAAAGAAAAAAAAAAACCCTCAAGGCATATTTTATCCAACAGCATAATCGGATGAAACTACCAATAAATGTTAGCCCATAGGCAGTTCTTACATATTTGTGAAGTGTTTGTAAAACACCCTGAAGGCTTAGACAATTTCAGAGAGTTTACTACATAAATATTTACTACATAAATAAATGCACTTAGGTATTAATGGTGCTTTCACACTCATATTTAGCAACATGTGGATTAAACCAGGGGTTTGAATATTATTCTTACAAAGTGGGCCTGACAAAGTTATCACTTAAGGTCAGAAATGTAAATCAATTTGTGAAAAAAAAGGGTAGTAAAGGAAGAACACGAAGTACAGTTTTGCAATCAAGAATATTTAGGAATAAAACGTGGTTGTGAATTATGGCGCCACCAGTTTCTGGTGGTGTGAGCTTGTGAGTGTAGGTCTCTGTGAGCCTCAAGTCTCTTGTTCGTGGAGATGTTAATAATGGATCATCAAACTTTATAGAACGAAGTTTTTTTATATTCGTATAGGATTACATTTGCTTACAAATGTGGTGTGTCGTAAGTGTTTAGTAGCTGCTAGTTGACCCAATATTAAGATAAGTGGACATCGATTTTTCCAGATATAAGCCTAGCTCCTGTACATGACTTATCAAGGTGTTCTTGCCTAACCACACTGTATTTTACTCTTTAAAGTAGAAGTTGTAAAGTTCCCTCCTCAAATCACTTCTTCTTCCAGTATCTGCAGCTGACAGGCCGATCCTTAAACTGCCTCTCTCCCAAGTGCTCTGCGAGCATTGCAAGCCTCTCTGGGGTGGCTGTAGCTGAATGAACTACCTCTTGCAAATAGAGTTGCCTGCCTTTCCTTCTCTGCCTGCCGAGTGATTTCTACTTGCCTGTCAACATCAAGTCTGTTTGGGGCATGAAGTAGGGAATAAGGTTACTCTTGTTTCTCCACCCTTCATTTACGGGAACCCTAGTAATCCTGCAGTTCTCTAAATAACCATTCCAAAATGAGCTCTTGCCATGTGGCCAGTAATACTGGGCATGGGACACATGGACATGTAAGAGGGAGGCTTGCTGCTCTTCAGGGGCTTGGAATCATTTGGAAGCACAGGTCATCCAACAAGGGCAAGAAAGTGAAAAAGGCCTATGGTTCACTGCTCACAAGCCAAGAGGAATCACCATCCCTTGAAACACATCCTGATACACAGGGTCAACTGAAAGCCGGTCACTTGGTTCTGAAGAAAATGAAACTCGGAGCTTAAAAAAAAAATACAAAAAATAACTCAAAAGTACAACTCTTTCTGAAAAACAACCAGTCTGATGGAAAATGCCAGAGAAAACAAATAATCCCCGATTTATTTGTTCCTTTAAAGTCAACATAAAATCTTAAAATTGTTCCTTAAAATGGAAGGGGTGTGTATTTCTCATTTCTCATATTGAACTAAAAAGCAAATACAACAAAAACCTGTATAAATTGATGAGTGCATCTAAACTGAGGAAAAAATTAGTCTCCAAAAGACTATTTCTAAAAATGAAGAAAATCCATGCCTTCTGTGGATGTTCAAGTGATCCAGAATAAAAATGAGAGTAATGATGTTCCCAGGATTCACTCTGCCGTAACTAACCTAGATCCTCAATTTACTACTGTCTGCAGCATGACGGGTAGGCAATTACAGAATAATAATTAATACATAAAATGGAAGTTGCTGTTCTTTTCAGTGAAATCAGTGCCACTTCACTGAAAAGAGCAACAGTGTAAAATTAATCGCTATTGATTTAAGGGAGGGGATTCTGAGAAGAAAACATATGCCACCAACCTCCAAATCTTCACGTTTTATATACATTTGGATTTTTAGAAATTTTATTTTATTTTTCCCTAAATTAAAAGTCACATGAACTAACAAATTGTTTTTTTTAGTGCATGAAGTTCTGAAGCGACCTCCAGGTGACTTTCACTATCTGCCTCTCCTTCTCTGTTTTCTCACTGAATAGTTTGATGACAGTCTTTCACCCACCTGGTGAGGCCAAGAGCCAGGCCTGGGATGGGTGGGAAAACTTTTTTTTTGACAATTTGGAGCAAATTGCCTTTCACTTCCAAGCTAAAGGTCATTTATAATGGCAGAGAAATTCTGAATCTTACATTTGTCTCGCATTTTTAATTCTTCCAATTGCTTTCAAATCTGGAATAAAGGCTATTCAGCGCAGTGGCTTTAAAGTCAAAGTAGACTAGGGATTCCCATGCCAAGATTCACAAACTGGGCAACTTTGGTCAAGTGACATAACTGAGCTGGTTGACATTTGGCAAAACATATAAAGTTCCTGGCACATAATAAACACACAAATAAATGAGTAAATAAATACTTAGAAATCTAAGTATAATCTAATTAGCAATCAGATTTTGGTGGTGTATTTCTCCTTTTTAAAAAATATTTTTTAAAAAAATAAATAAACTGAGGCTGAGTCACTGAATTACCCAAGTTGCCGGGGGGAAAAAGGAACACACTCTTGGCAGCAGACACCATAATTTTCCTAGAAACTGAAGCTCTGCCGGACATAGGACTTACACACTGTCTAATTATTCCTAACGGGCACTCCACAATTATGAAGCCACCAACAGTCTGGGTATTGGAAAATGACGGAAATGTTCACTGGTTACTGTTAGCATATCTTGGTTTTATCCGTCAAGATAGAAAAGATGCCCTACCCAGATGCTGTCTTCTTGCTTGTACTGTTTCCAGTTGCGTCCTGTGTCACTGAACATCAGGCCATAACTTGTCACCCAGTCAGAGCTTCCGTATCTTCCCTGCGTGGCCACTGCTGTAATCTCCACTCTGTTTCCCAGGTCCATCTGGAGCCACTGTTGAGCGTTGGAATCTGCTGGGGACCAACCACCAGTTCCTGGAACAGGATCAGAGAGAGAGAGAGAGAGTTATAGTAGTGTCTTACCTAGCTACAACTTTGAACTATCAAAGGGAAATAAAACAGTGTTCAACTCAGGTGACTTTCCCCCAAATATGCCACACTCTTCTCTGCTCTGTACTTCAACCCTGCTGGTAACTTTCTGTGCTCAACTTTCATCCTCTACCTCCATTAAATTCCCCCTCATGGTTTGAGACTCATTTCAAAAGCTCTGTCTTCCATGATTCTTTCCCTATTTCCTCAGTAATTATAGCTTCCATCTTAAGAATTCCTAGTGAAATTTGTTGATTTATTTTCTGACGACTTAAGAAAGTTGATGGTAGATAGGTACAAACTAGCCTTACGTCCTCTCTGTGACTGATATCTCCTTCCTTCCTTCCTTCCTTTTCTTTCCTCTTCTTTGTCCTCTTATTCCTCTCTCCAAATATGTACTATGAACCCGCCACGGACCAGACATTGTGCTGTGGATACAAAGATGAAAGGACACTCACTGACTATGCCTTTGAGGAGTATCATTCCCTTATTCAAGAGATGTTCACTGAAAACCAGGAGCATGCTGGGTGCTGAAGAAAGAGAGAGATACTAACAAAAACATGTAATGTGATGTGAAAGAAGCCTTCACAAGAGAAAACAACGGGAACACGGGGGCAGAATGCCTCAGGAGGTGATCAGAAGGGCCTTCTGGAGACATTATTGGTAGAGTTGAAACCTGAGGTGAGTGTAGCCATGCCCCAGGAAAAAAAGGGGAAAGTTGGATAGAGAGCAGCCAGGGCAGAGGGAAGAAAAGCATAGACTAAATCTCAGAAACAGAGTCCAACACATCCTTGGATGCACATGGTGTTCAGTATACTTGACACGCAGGAGCATTCAAACATGTTTTTTAAAAAAGTCTCTTGGCTCTAGAATTTCATTATTCATCACACTTGAAATTTACTGAAGATCATTATTAGCTCTTGCTTAGTTGGAAGACTTGTGGCCGAAGTTTTCTGTTTTCACTTCTCATAGGAATAAAAAAAGACAACGCTCACTTCTACTCATCCCAGAGTTCACAATACTTCTGAAACCTGAGTAGGAGCTATCGCAGACCATCTCACACCTTGGCTAGGGATGGCGTGGAAGGAACTGCTCTGTCAGTCACTTTGCTCAGGACATCAGGTTGGGAGTTCATTCAATTTTTAGTTCAGAGAAGCTAATCAACAAACTCCTTTTTTTCCCCAACCTATGCTATTAAAAATCACTTTAGTGATGTTTCAGTCTATTTTCTTGCCACCTTGGGAGAAGTCAGTTGAAGTTCTGCTTGGTCACTGAGTGACTTTTTACAGCCCCAGTTCCCTGTGCAAAGAGTCTCTCATAGTATGAGATGAGAATGAAGACACAGGAGACAGGACATAAGACTGAACTTATTCGGGCCATAAGGGATGTCCTGCAAGGTATGGTTGGCTTTCTTGTGGTAAACAGCCAGTCCCTAGTAGCTTTTTTTTTCTGAGAAGAAAAAAAAACAACTAGATATCAGTTAGAGAGGGGATGAAAGTCTAGTGTTTTGGATCTTCCTGAGAAGATTCAAATGCAGGAAAGAAAGATAAGAGAATGTGCTCAGCACCTTCTGAGTTTTATTAAGTGTTTTGCAAAACATGAATAGAGTGACTGATATTGCAGACATTCACTAATATTCATTCCATCTTCCTTCCGTGGTAATAGAAATGTGGTAGGTGCATGTCTTAATGGCATTTTGTAGTCTTCGGTACTATGGTAGCTATGGCCACATGGCCAAGTTCTTTCCAATAAGAGGGGAATAAGACATGTCACTTTTAGGCTAACATACTTCTCCATTTGCTTTCCTCTCCCACCGCTGATGGATGCAGCTGACAACAAGTTCCTAGATGATGGCAAAACCACAGCATGAAAAGATTCTGGATCCCTGCATCATCCCACGAGAAAGCATCTGTCTACTTTGACATATTTCCTAACCTGTAAGATGAATGAGAACTAAACACCTCTTGGGTTTAAGCCATCACACATTGGAATCTAATACTGCAGTTGAGCCTTTTTTAATACAAGACCAATATTCTGTAAAGTAAAGAGCATTACCCCCATTGTAGTTGAGGAAACCAAGATCCAGCAAGTTTAGAACACTTGGCACCCAGGATTCAGAGGGTGAATCCAGCTTCTTGAGATTACTCTCTAATGGGAGGGGTATTTATAAAAAACTGAAAATCAGTAAGGAGGAAAAGTCACCAGAAGGAGGCATGGGAGCAGGGTTTCGGGTATTCTGAGACACGAGATCCAGAAGTACATTTTTATCTATCCACTCTTGTCCTTTCAACATGGTCACAATTTCCACTCCTCTCTGCGTTTCTCCAGCTCCTCGACACTGATAGAAAGACTTATAAATGGAGAGTTTTTACATTTCCAAAACCAAAAGTCGTTCTGAATCCACTCTTTGTTTCCACTCAGTGTCTCCTGCTGCCCAGTTCAGAAGCCTGCTCTCTTCTTACGTGAAAAACCAGCCAACTTGGCGAAACGGTATGATCTTGGCAATATGAAAGCATGGCAGAATGTCAATTTGTACACTGACTTCTTCCGAGCAGCAAATGTACGTTCTATACTTCTTTGCTTTTTCATATAACTTTTTTATCATCTGCATGCTTTGATAAGCTGAGAATCTTATCCCTCATATACAAAAATTGCATAAAGAATATGTGTAGCAGTCTGGGAGCGAATGGTATAATATAGGACTTTTGTTTTTTTGTGTGACTATCACTGTTTTTGGCATGAAAATCCTCAAGCCTTAACCATTTCATTTCTTCCCCCTCAGTACTCCACAAGTAGACTTCTTAGTCATGCCTTAAAGTTCATTATTTGCTTATTCTAATTAGCATGTGATGAGAATTTATGTGGAAAATGAAACAAAAAAATTATATGGCAAGGAACTTTCCCTTGCAAAGGGTAAAATCACAAAAGACTGACCAAAAAGACTTAACAAAACAAAACAAAAACAGAAAATAGAGGGAGGTTTTGTGTTAAAACAATTTCTTCAAATTTGTCTACAGAAAATAATAGCTTTCATTTGCCCACAGTAAAAACTTTAGCTTATTAATATCCCCAAAGTTAACCAAAATGGAATAGTTGCTGTTAGCATTCATTAAAACATCAACTTAAACATTTTCTGAACCACAGAGCTTCAAGCTCTTAAGATGGAGGGATACTATCTGGGTGATAATTGCCCAGGACTCTTTCCTGCTGTTGAAGATACTCCCTGCATTACAGCTAATAGACAAGACACCCAGGGTTGCCACGGTTGCCATGGCAGACATTGTGTTCCTTCTACCAAACAATAAATGTGTTTTTACAAATGATGAGAATAGACTGAAGAAACTATTTGTAGTTGCTTTAAAGACACAAAGCACCCACGCTAGATTCCTGGTTTGGATTATTCTCTAAATTGGGGGTGTAACATACACACAAATATGTGTATTTAGCCAGTCGAAGGTATCAATAAGAGAACGCTGTCTGGAATTGTGGCTGATGTTTCAAGAACTATTAACGACAAAAATTCCCATAAATTCTGCAGTTTAAGGTTAAAAGGTATTTAACAGAAGTTTAAAATTAAAAGTTTAAAAGGAAGCATTTAAATTAAAAAATATCACCTTTGGTTTTTAAAATTTATTTTAACTCTATTTTAACGTTGTGAGATACAGATGAGGATTTCCTACATAAGTATATTGTGTGCAGGTGAGATTTGAGCGTCTCCCCCTGCTAACGAACATGGTGCCTGATGGGCAATTGTATGCTCCTTACCCCCCACTTCCTGTTCCCCCCCATTAGCAGGGTACAGTATCAGCTGTTGCTGTCTCTGTGCTCGTGTGCCCAATATTTAGGGCTCAGTTATGAGTGAGAACATTCCATGTTCATTTGTTCCTTTAGTGTGTGTGTCATAGTTCACTTAGAATGATGGTCTCCAGCTGCATTCATGTGGCTACAAAAACACACTTTTGTTCTTTTTTATGACTGCATAGTATGCTATTGTGTATATTGTGTGTATATTTTCTTTATGAAGTCCACTTTCAGGGATCATCTGAGTTGGTTCCTTGTTTGTACCATTATGGATAGTGTCGTGATGAACACACATGTGTAGGTGTCTTTGGTTTAGAGCAATTTATGTTCCTATGGGTTTATCCCCAAAAGTGATATTGCTGAATCATATGGTAGCTTAATTTTTCGTTATTCGAGAAATCACTATACTGTTTTCCACAAAGGTTAAATTACCCTACATTTCCATCGACAGTGTGGAAGCATTTCCTTTTCTCCACAGCCTCACCAACACCTGCTGTTTTTGACTCTTTAATTGAGAGCCATCCTGACTGATGTGAGGCGGTATTTCATTGTAGTTTTGATTTGCTTTTCTCTGATTATTAGTGAAGCTGAGAATTTTTTTATATGTTTGTTGGCTACTTGGGTGCCTTACCTTGGGAAGTGTCTGTTTATGACATTTGCCCACTTTTTAATAGTATTATTTGTTTTTCTCCTGTTAATTCATCTGAGTATCTTGCAGAACCTGAATGTTAGGCCTTTGCCATTGAATAGCTTGCAAATATGTTTCCCATTCTGTGGGTTGTCATTTTACTCTCTTGATGGTTTCTTTTGCTGTACAAAATCTTTTTAGCTCGATAAGGTACCACTTATAAATTTTAGCTTTTACTACACTTGCTCTTTTAGAACTCAGCCATGAATTCACTGCCTGCTCTGAAGTCCAGGAGGGTGTTCCCTAAGCTTTCTTCTAAGCTTCTTAGAGTTTGTGGTTTCATGTTTAAGCCCTTGATATATTTTGAGTTAATTTTTGTATATGGTGATAGGTAGAATTCTAGTTTCATTCTTCTGAATGTGGGTTGTCAGTTTTCACAGCACTATTTGCTAAATATGATTTCCTTTTCCCAAAGTTTGCTTTGGTTGGCTTTGTCAAAGATTAACTGATTAAAAGA